TCTATCTATCTATCTATCTATCTATCTATCTATCTATCTATCTATCTATCTATCTATATATATACATATGATTTTTTCCTTCCAACTACCCTAATACTGACAAAGGTCTCATTAGTTGCAAATATCATCTTTCCATGCAGGAATGTAAACAGTTCAACCTTGATAAGTCTCTTATGATTTCTCCTTCCTGTTTACCTCTTCATGTTCCACTTGAGTCTTGTATTAGAAAGTCAAATTTTCTATTCAGCTCTGGTCTTTTCATCAAGAATGCTTCAAAGTCCTCTATTTCACTGAATGACCATTTTTTTCCCCTGAAGAATTATACTCAGTTTTGCTGGATAGGTGATTCTTGGTTGTAATCCTATCTCCTTTGCCCTCCAGAATATTATATTCCATGCCCTGTGGTCTCTTAATGTAGAAGCTGCTAAATCTTGTGTTATCCTGATTGTGTTTCCACAACACTTGAATTGTTTCTTTCTGGCTGCTTGTAATATTTTCTCCTTGACCTGGAAACTCTGGAATTTGGCTACAATATTCCTAGGAGTTTTCCTTTGGGGATCTCTTTCAGGAGGAGATCGGTGGATTCTTTCCATTTCTATTTTGCTCTCTGGTTCTAAAATATCAGGGCAGTTTTCCTTGATCATTTCGATGTCTAGGCTCTTTTTTTGATCCTGGCTTTCAGATAGTCCAATAATTTTTAAATTCTCTCTCCTGGATCTATTTTCCAGGTCAGTTGTTTTTCCAATGAGATATTTCACATTGTTTTCTAATTTTTCATTCTTTTGGATTTGTTTTGCAGTGTCTTGATTTCTCATAAAGTCACTAGCTTCCAATTGCTCTATTCTAATTTTTAAGGAAGTATTTTCTTCAGTAATCTTTTGGACTTCTTTTCCATTTGTCCAGTTTTGCTCTTTAGGGCATTCTTCTCTTCATTGGCTTTTTGGACCTCTTTTGCCATTTGGGTTAGGCTATTTTTTAAGGTGTTATTTTCTTCAGTATTTTTTTGGGTCTCCTTTAGCAAGCTATTAACTTGCTTTTCATGATTTTCTTGCATCACTCTCATTTCTCTTCCCAGTTTTTCCTCTATTTCTCTTACTTGCTTCTCAAAATCCCTTTTGAGCTCTTCCAAGGTCTGGGACTGATTCATATTTTTCTTGGAAGTTTTGGATGTAGGAGCTTTGACTTAGTTTTCTTCCTCTGATTGTATGTTTTGATCTTCTTTGTCACCAAAGTAAGATAATATAATCTGAGTGTTTTTGCGCTGCTTGCTCATGATCCCAACCAATTACTTGAGTTTTAAACTCTTTGTTAAGGTAAGAGTCTGTTTCCTATGTGGAGAATGTACTGTCCCAAGCTTTGGGGGTTTGTACAGCTGTTTTCAGAGATACTTCTAGGGACCTGAAAATTTTCAGTTCTTCCAAGGTTCTATGATAAGGGACGAGGTGTTTCCTCTCCATGGCCACAACGAGCTCCACCACGCCAGCGCTCCTCCTTGCCCCAGGACCTCCCCTCAGAACTGCAACCCAGATCCAAGCACGGGCAAAGCAAGAGATTCCTCCCCCAGCACTGGCAAAGAGATCCCTGTGATCCCCCTCTGATCAGCCACTTGATTCCCCCTCAGTCTGTGGGCTGGAAGCTCAGGAGGCAGCCGCTGCCCTCAGGGTGGCTGAGACCTAGCTCCTTCTCTCAGCAGTCACAGACTTTTCCCATTGACCTTCTAAGTTGTCTTTGGCGTTTGTGGGTTGAGAAGTCTGGAAACCACCACAGCTGCCCGTGATTCAGTCCTCTGAGGCCTGCTCCAGGGTCACTGCGGCCTGCGTGACCACACCGAACTGCGCTCCTCTCCCAGCCCTGTGCAATATACCTTTCTGATCAGCCATCCAGGTTGTCTTGGGCTGGAAATTTGTTTTACTCTGTTTTTTTGTGGGTTCTGCTGCTTTAGAATTTGTTTAGAGCCATTTTTTGTAGATATTTGTAGGGGTTTGAGGGAGAGCTCAAGACAGTCACTGCTCTCCCTCCACCATCTTGGCTCTGCCCTCCCCCACACCCCTTGTAATGTCTTAATATTGCATCTGGAAAACAAATTCAGTTTTTCCTACCTATAAAGAAAAGGAAAGTGAACTCTAACACATTAAGCAGTAATATGACTAAATACATTCATGTGAAAACATGATGGGGCAGCTAGATGGTGCAGTGAATAAAGTGCCAGGCCTGAAGACAGGAGGACCTGAGTTCAAAACCAGCCTTAGACTTTTCCTAGCTATGTGACCCTGGACAAGTCACTTAATCCTGTTTGCCTCAGTTCCTCATCTGTCAAATGAGTTGGAGAAGGAAATGGCAAACCACTCTAGCATCTTTGCCAAGAGAACCCCAAATGAGGTCACAAAGAGTTGGACACAACTGAAACAACTCAAGAACAACAAAAACATGGTGACTGGCCTTCTTAAGGGTATAAGCACTTTTTAAAAGAGTTGGCTAACACAACCTGATGTATAATGTGTCGGGGAATTATATTAAGTGTCTTTCCGATGCCACCTTCCTGACCTCACAGGCAATAATAATGAGGATCAATAATAGCACCCCATTTCTGAACCATTTCTAACCTATCAGGCTTAGGATTGCTCTCTAGAGTATAATACTACTTGGGCACGAACCACTACACCATCAATAACTATCATCCAAGTAAAACCTCAAACAGTCTTAGTTTCAAAACAGTGTAAGATGGTTGTCTAAATTAGGTTTTCCTCAATTCCCTGATAATTTCTCAAAAAAAGTCCCAAAGGAAGAGAATCAAAAGTATAATACATAAAGACTTTTTATTTTACAATACATTGGTGATATGAACTAAAATGACAAAAATAGATGTTAAGTGAAATATGTAAACTAACATTTGACAGTAGCAAATTTGAACACCAATACATATTCAAATTTTAAAGTAAGCAAACTAATTCTTAATATGATAATGTATGTAAAACACTTTGTAAAATATAAAGCATTATACAAATATTAGTGTTGTTATTATTATGAAAAATATCAATTGAAAATAATGAACTTTAAGTTCACATTTTACCTGATACTATTTATTCTATATTGTTTGAATTTTTTTAAAACTTTAATGTAATAAGTTTTCCTGTTTCTTTTTTATTTTAGGAAATGATTTGCAACTGAGTGAATCAGGAAGTGACAGTGATGAGTGAAAAAAACAATGGGCTTCAACATAAATATTTTTAAAATATTATAATATGAGAGAATTTGTTTTGCACTAAGAATAAAATTTCTCAAGACTGAAAACTGTCTCAATTTTGATGATAATGGAAATGTAATTTGATTCTTAATTTTCTGCTAATGTGTGGAAACAACACAACTTTAATATATTTAGTGTTTTTGTTTTCTAAAGGACTGGATTCACAGTAAAATAATTATTGATTGTATTTTATATTTGCCATCTGCTATTCTTGAACTTCTGGTTGGTAATAACTAAATAGATGTATATAAATTTAAGGTGAAACAAAGTACATGGATCAGAGAAAACAATTTGTTTATTCCTCTTAGAGATTCAACATCAATTCCTTATTTGATTTTTGAGATGAAAAATAAACAGCTTAATGTCAAAAAGTTAGATCAGCATCAGCCTTCCAAGTTCCACACCCTCAGGAACATTTGCTCTCAAGAGTCCTCAAGTTTCTATTTGAACTTCTTCTGCAACCACCTTCACCCCTAGTTTGTTCCTTCAGGGCAAGGAGTCACAGTGTTTACAAAACCATCAATTAACATTTATTAAGCACCTGTTGTGTACTAGGTACTGTGCTAAGTGTTAGGGATTCAAATACAAATAAAACGAAAACAGTCCTTGCCTTCAAGGATTTTATACAATTTAATGGGGGAAGAAGGTGGGGGGCAGGAAGGAGGGTTCCAAAGAAACCCAAAAGCAGTGTAATTGGTGGGAAATGGAAAGAAATATTGTGCCGAGTCCTTAAATAGAGGTCCTGGAGCCCATCACCTTGTCCTCCAGTCAGAGCGTACTGATAAAATGTGAGTGCCACACAGATTCAATCTTGAAAGATAACAAGATTTCCCAATGAAAAGAAGGATAAATCTGGAGTTTTCCAACCACCCTGAGAGTTTCCCAAACTCTACCCCAAGTTTGTGCTCTTTTTCCAGTGTCATGGCTCCTTTATCATTAGGAGCTGGAGCGTCTGGGTCATAGACCATAGGATGGATTCATGGATGGAGTCTCCCCTATCCCTTTCAGGAGAGATTTCTTCATGGCAGGGCTTGCTGCTCTACATTGCATTGTTTCTGAAGGAGGGAGAGTTCTCTTTTTAATGAACAGCTGCATCATTTTGCAAATGACTGCCCACATCTGGGGTCTCTTTCTAGCAGTTGAATGTCCTGGCCCAGTTTCTGGCTATGTTAGCAGCTCAACTCATGCAGTCAACAGGAATGCTGGCTACAGCTCTTTCTTTACCCTCTTGGTCAGTATCCTCCAGCACCCACCAAGCTAATCCTTCTGTCTAAGCATGAGTTTATGGCTAGTCCCATAGCAAAGACTCCCCCTATCCAATCAGGCAGTGTTGAAGCAGGCAGTGAAGAACCAGGCAGTGTAGCTTCATCTTTCTGATCACACCTCCTTCCTCCTTCATATTGGTATAACTGTACCCTAGCTATGTGTAGTCAAGGCCTTTCAGACTCAGTGGGTGCCTGGGACCACTCAAGTCTCTAGCTCCTTATCATTGACATATGTACAGATGGAGACAATGGGGACCCCAATGAGGAAAGCTCAACACCACTGTATTCTTGTTGTGTTAGGGCAAAGTAAACTTCCTCCTTTGTTAAATGCTCAATGACTTGTGAGTGCCACAGTTCATCCCCCAAATGGAACCTAAACTAAGAGGGAACTGCCTTGAAAGTCAAGCCTACACCATTCTCCCTGGCCATGTCATTCCATGCAATTATGTTGACCATGCCAGTGTACTCCCTGCATATAACCTCCCCAGTTTGTCATGTAACCCCGCATCCATATCAATGATGTAATCCAACAATTTAATGATATGGCCTTCACTGTTCCTTCATTGTCTACTCATGGAGAGACCTCCCTTTTTGTGATTTTTATTGTCTTTAGTTCGTAAGTTCCAATCAAATCAGAGGTAAACTGATGACATTCATTTTTTATCTGGAAAATGCTTCTTTCATCTGTTCTCTTTATCTCTTTCAACTGATTTTCCATTTTCTAATTTTTCTCTGGGACTTAGGTCCTAGAAGTACAAGGTGAAAACACGGATGGATAATGTAGATGGGATCATTAATTCAGTTGAAGAAAGTGGATAGTAGCATCCCAGAGCTGGTAAAAGCCTTCAGGCAGTATCTCTCCCTTCTATTTGACTATAGGCAACCTTGCATCAGCTCCCTAATTCTCCTCTCCCCCCTCAAATAAAAGCCCCTACTTTTACCAAGTATAGTCATTCAAAACAAATCACGCATTGGCTAAGTCTTAAAAAAGTATGTATATTATGATCACTAGTGCTTTCGGAACAAGCTTTTCTAATTATGAATGACAAAGCCTATTACTTTCTTTTGCCAAGTACTGTGCCTAGGGCTAGGCATGCAAATTCAAAAGCAAACACTACTGGAAAAAATACCTGAAAGGGAACTATGGCTAGGGAAAGATACTTTGGTCCTTGAAAGACAAACTGATGTTGAGTGGAGGTAAAAGAAGAGGGGAGAAAATTGATGTATTCTATCCAGGAACAATGGCAGCAATGATCATGGTTCATGGTTCCAGAACTGCATGGGGGGAGGAAAGTAGAGAGGGAGAAGTGGGGAGTAAAGAGTAAAAAGGTTAAGAGTAGAGCTGGATCTTAGTTTGAATAGTGAATCCTCTAAAGTGGTTATGTGTATTCAAACTTGCACTATTCAAAGCTATAACTATATAAATTATGGTGATTGTTTTCAGCCATTTGGAAATATGCAATATGAATTCAAATAAAGAGACCACTTCAGGGGATCGATTATTTGCTTTAACTGGGACCTATTTGTGGGGAAATCAGTGAAGCGTGGCTGGTCTTTCCTGAAGCACTATTTATTACAACAGTGGTCCAAGATAGGCAATAGGCAATCTGGACTGTGGAGGCCCTAAGGCAGAAGTTTCTTCAGGATAGCTAGGCAATTAATTAGCCTTTGTGGGAAAATGCATGAGAAAGTGCAAGCCTGGTGGCCTGAGAGCAGGATTGATTTCCTTTCATCCCAGGGCTTGCTGAGATAGGGAAGGGTAGGAAAAGGAACTCTGTTTTGAGTTTTGGGGGGTTTGTGCCAATGAGACATATCTCCAATATAAGGAGATCAAGAGAATTAGTAAGACTAGGGATTTTCCTCAGCCCAAAAGGGTATTTTATGTTCATGTACAATGGGACTTGGAATAGTAGCAGTGGTGGCTCACCAAGCATTTAGCCAGGTAGTCATAATTCTTAAAATAACAAATGAAATTGTGACCTCCCTTAGAAACTCTGCCCTAATCTTATTACTCATTAAACATCAAACACAAGGTCCCGGCAGAAAAGCTGACCTGTTGGGGAAGGGGGTTGAAAGAAGGGGTGCTCTCTAGAGCTTATCTAAATAATATAGGATGGGTGGAAATGCTTAATTCACATGCAACTGACAACTGGGAGTCATTTCATCTGCATATGAGGGCATGAAGGCAATGCCAATATATTCTCAAGCTTGGTTTTCATAACCTCTTCCCTTCCTACCTTTCTAGTCTTCTTATACTTTTCTCCCTTCCATGAACTTTATAGTTCAATGATACCCGCCATCTTCCCTTTATCTCCTGACTCTGTGTCTTTTCACTGACTTCAACTTAAGGCCTGGAATGCTGTGTGTGTGTGTGTGTGTGTGTGTGTGTGTGTGTGTGTGTGTGTGTCTGGATAAAGCATTAGGCCTGAAGAACTCAATTTAAATCCCACAACAGACACTGCTGTGCAACCCTGGGCAAGTCATTTAATTTGCCTTAGTTTCCTGATCTGTAAAATAGGGATAATAATAGCACCTACCTTCCAGGGTTGTTTTGCAGATCAAATGAGATAATAATCGTAAAATGCTTAGCACAGTGTTTGACACCTAGTAAGCACTATATGAAAGTTAGCTATTATTATTAGTTATTACTACCTCTGTCTCCTGGCTTCCTTCAAGACTCAGCTTAAATCCCACCTTTTGTTAAGAGGCCTTTCCCACTCCCTACTTTCCATCTGATCCCCTTACCCCCAAATCCCACTGCTAGTGCCTTCCCTTTGGGACTACTTCCCATTTAGACTGTATGTATCTTGTAAGTGCGTAGTTGTTTTCACGTTGTGAATGGGGGAGACCCCATTGAAATGTGAGCTCCTTGAGGATTTGTTGCTCAGTCATTTTTCAGTCATGTTCGACTCTTCATGACCTTATTTGGGGTTTTCCTGGCAAAGATATTGGAGTGGTTTGTCATTTCCTTCTCCAGCTCATTTTACAGATGAGGAAACTGAGGCAAACAGGATTAAATGACTTTCCCCAGGGTCATACAACTAGAAAATGTCTGAGGCTAGATTTGAACTCAGGTCTTCCTGACTCCAGGGTGGGTACTTTATCCACTGTGCCACCTAGTTGCCCCTTCCTTGAGGACAGGGACAGTTTTTTGCTTTGTTCCCCTTTCTTTGTATCCCTAGCAGTTAGCATTGTGCTTATCTCATAAGAAAGCACTTAATAAAAGCTTGCCAATGGATTCATTGGATAGAGAGTCACTGCTGAGGGAATAGAAGCTCCATGATAGCCTGTAGAACTTGGCCAACATGTTCATATTGGTCTGAGGCTTCCATATTGTGGTATCTCTCATTTGGAGGGAGAAGTAGCATAATAAAGAAAAATGTCTTTTCAGCTCCCTAGTGAATATAGGACCAGGCCTGGAACAATGACATAACACAACATCTTCTGGGCATCTGCAGTGACCCTGGCTAACTTGGCTAATAATTTCTAACTGTTCATTTGCTCACACCATAGACATTAGTCAAAATAAGCTAGAAAGAACAAGAATTCTGGGAGGAATGGTCTCTAACTTAATCATTAATACTTTAGTCAGAAAACAAGCTGGACTCTTGTAACTGGAGTTCTCCTTTCCCTTGGGAGCTGGGGTAAGGAATTTGGAAAAAGAAAGAGATAGTAATATTAGCTGACATTTTTATAGTACATTATGACTTTACTATATAATCTTATGGTGTTTCCTCTGGATTATCCTGCCGCCCCCAGTGAAGACAACCCTACCTCCAATT